ATGAAGGCGGCCAGTTTCCAACCAGTGCAATGACATACAATATGCTTATTGCCGGTTTCTGTCGTGCTAGGGGCAAATAGGGCTTTATCTGACATGAAGGAACGAGGCTTGGAACCGACCAAAGTGACATACACAATACTAATTGATTATTTGATTCATTTGCCAGAGAAAATGACATGAATAAGGCTTTTTAGATGCTTGCATGGGAGAAGGCAGGTCTAGAGGTGGATGTGCGCACTTATGGTGTTCTGGTTCATGCACTCTTCATGGAAGGGCATATGAAGGATGCCAGGAAGCTGTTTCAGTCAATGGACCAGAAAGGTGTTGAACCGGGCAATGTGATCTATGACATGATGATTTATGGCTATGGAAGAGAAGGGAGTTGATACAAGGCTCTGAAGTTGATCATGGAAATGAGGCAGAAGGGTTTGGTTCCAAATTCCGTAAGGTATGCCTTGATGATGACGATTTGTTTTCTTTGCAATGATGATAAATGTCAGGAAGCTGAGGCTCTGCTCGATGACATGGTCCGTGCTGGTCTGCAAACAAGTGAACCAATCTGCCAGTTTACTGAATGCCAAGGCAAGATTGAGAGGTTCTACTGATGGCTCTTTTGTGTAAGTAGGAATTCATTTCTTTTCATGTTATAGTGAATTATCCTGATTCATGAGAAATTAGAAAGATATTGCACAAGGAAATCTACGTATTGAATTACAATATAAGAAACTGTAAGTTCATTTGCTGGGCATCACAGAGAACTCCATTGCAAGCGACAAAGATAGGCAGCAAAATGCCGAAGATAAATGCACCCAGCACTTGCTGCAAAATAAAGGTCAGTGCTTATTGGGATCCTGTGCTTTCATGCTCGTCCTGCACGCCGGAGGCTTTGCCAGGTGAAACTTGGTTTGAGCAAAACCCTTTTCAGATGTTATTTCATGATTCCTAGTACAAGATAACCTACCTTCATACTCAGGTATTAGATAAGAAAACTAGAGATATATAGCTTCAACTATTTTGTGTCCGTACCATATACTCCGCCCATAGCGCCTGTTCATATCAGTCAAGTAGAATTAGGTTTTATTGTTTCTTGTTTGTCAGGGGGTCAACCATGAGTCCTTGACAATGCTGTATGAGTTCCTGCTATATGATAGATCAGCAGTCGTCATTTTCCTCAGGCAATATAAAACCTAGCTTTATATTCTTGCTCTTATTTGCTTCATAAACGCTTGACTTTAAGTTATAACCCATGTTTATCATGCACACGCAAGTTCCCAGCACTCTCCTACATTATTAAATTGGGGTGTGTTTAGTTCCATGCCAGAATTGGAAGTTTGAAGAAATTAGAACGATGTGACAGAAAAATTGGAAGTTTGAATGTGTAGGAAAGTTCGATGTGACGGAAAAGTTAAAAATTTAAAGAAAAAAGTTGACTCTTCAGGGATGGAGACCCCTTCCATACAAAGAAATAAGAATGTCGGCGTTCTCTATAGGCTACTGACAAAGCTATGCTACATGAGTTCCCTTGCACCCCCTTTTCATAATATAAGAGATTTTAGGTAGATGTGACACATCCTAATACAACGAATCTGGACAGACCGTTTGTCTAGATTCATTATACTAGAATGTGTTATATCTACCCAAAATCTCTTATATTATGGGACGTAGGGAGTAATTAATAGCTCTATATGGTTTAAGGAAATGAGTACCCTATCCAAATTTCTACACCTGGGCCTCCTCGTCCTTTTCTGATTGCTATGTGATACCGGTTCCCACTTGCTAAGTTGCCTTAACACCGCACTTTGCAATTTTTCTGATAGGAGAATCAAGAGTGACCGATCCTTTTCAGATTCTTTTGCAGGTACTTTTCAGTTCATCTTGTGTTTATGACGAAATGCTCTTTAATTCTTTTGAGCTCATGAATAAGTGTCTTAAAAGAAGAGCTCATGAACAAGAATAATTTAATTGTTACTAATACTAGTAACAAATTACTGCATATTTACTCTCTCTTTTGTTTTTACTTGTTAGTTTGGACATCAACATAGTCTACTTAATTATATTTATATATACAAAAGAATGCTGAAAACATACTTCCTCCGTCCCACAATAATTCAACTCCTGGATTCCCAATGCAAACTTAGTACAACCATGAAAATACCGAAATGCCCTCAACAACAACATTACACAGGATTGTACTGGGTTCTCTGCACTGTCCTCACTGAAAAAAAAGGTTTAACTGGGTTCTTTGCACCCATCGATTACACTGGTATCCAGCAAAAAAATGAAGTTTTAAACCGAATATGCTAACAAAAATTAAGAACCTCTAGTCTGAAAAAAGAAATCATAAAAAAAATACTACTCCACAATCTGCAAGATGGTTTGCATCCATAATCTGTCAAAAAAATACTTCTCCACAATCTGCAAGGAGTATGAATTAATCTGCAAGAACTAGAAAGAACAAAGAAAGGTGTTTGCATCCACCAAGGTGGCCTGTAGTCATGTGTGTATTTATCTAGATTGACCATGCAAAAAGTCATCATCAAAATCCAAGAACTTAGTATAGTTAACAAGGTGAAATGGCAGAAATAAACACCAGAGAAGAAAGAGTGATGAAAAATAAGTAGTAGAAAAGAGTACCTGGGTTCATTCTAATGGCAAAGCTTCTCGAACCACCTCAGCGCTAGGAGACACAAAATCGTTGGCTCCTTCATCAGATCCGCCATTGCAAAAGCTTGTGCATCAGGCTCCCTGCAACAGATCCACTGGCGCTGGAGACCATAGGCTTGCGCCTTCGCCGCCGTAGTCGAGCAGCACCTACACGTTGCGTTCGCCTTCTCCTGCATCACAATCGCAAGCCCCTACCTCTGCCGCCGTGCTGCTAGTGCCTCATCCGAGCCATCTCAATCCGCCGGGGCCGGCGCTGCCCCCGCCGACCTGTCGCATCCATGACATCACGGGAGGTCGCAGGGAGGGAGAGATGGATGGAGCGTGGAGGGAGGGGAAGCGACTCATCGCCGTCGAGGGATGGGCGAAGGTCGTGAGGAGAGGGAGGAGATGAGACCGGCGGTGGTGGTTTTTTTTAGCGCGGCTGTGTGGTGGGCGAGAGGAGAGAGACGGGCAGGGATAAGGATCATTGAATATTTCTCGGGTGTTGCGCAGGAGTTGATTTTTTCTGGGACAAATCCTCACCCCCAGAAATCGCTTCTTTCTGAGACGGAGGGAGTAAATAATTGAAGTACTTCTGACGACAAGTCTCTTGATGCTATTTTCATGTACTCCTTCCGTCCCATAATATAAGGTATTTTGAGTTTTTACTTATACTCTTTGACCACTCGTCTTATTCAAAAAATTTATGCAAATATAAAAAACAAAAAGTTGTGCTTAAAGTACTTTAAATAATAAGGGCAAAAAAAGTAAATAATAATTCCAATTTTTTTTTAATAAAACGAGTGGTCAAACAGTACTAATAAAAACTCAAAATCCCTTATATTATAGGACGGAGGGAGTAACAAACATTTATCTTTTACGAATGGGTAAATTGGAATCATGCCATTATAATTTTGTAAAGTTTGAGATCTATCGGTATCTCAATGACACGTAGGACCCACATGAGTCAATGACATGTGGGTCAGGATGACATATCTCAAATTTTGTAAAATTATAATGACATGGTTCCAATTTTCCGTTACGAATTGATGTCAATGTTCTTGGAATGTTCACTACAGCAAGTACTAGCGCTGAAGCAGTACAGCATAACGACGACTATAGGACTATTTACCTGTTCATTACTCGTCGTAATGTCGTGGACTCGTGGTACGCCGCGTACGCTTCTGCACGCTGACCGCTCGCCATGGGCCATGGCAAATGTGAAGCCGTGAAGCATCGGCCCAGCAGAATCACCCGTACACAGGATCGATTACCAACGGCGCAGATGACCTGGAGGAGACCGGACGCGGCCGGATGCGGAAGTGTATTCCCCTTCGCACCGCACGGTCGCACGCACGCACCGCGAGCCGTTAGGGGTTCAAACTTCCGGCCCACAACGGTAACTGTCGACGTTTGCGACCGCGGCCCCTTCTGGCATCTAGAACCCGAACCGGGGCACTCGCAACCCGACGGCGCCGTCAACTAACCATGGCACGACCGTCGCGTCCGCTACACGTTTCCTTTCGTCTCCAACTCGTATTGCTCCTCTTTTTTTTTGTATTCCACCCCTCTATTTCCGTAAATCATACTATCCCATGTGTTACTGTACTACTATACGGTAGGGGAAATCTCGTTTTTTTCATGCATTTTGCATTGTACTAACAGCACAATTGTGAGAGTTCGTGCTGAACATGTCCAGGGTTCATATTCCTAATGGAAATCACGATTTTCATGAAAATAGACCGATTTTCATGGAAATAGAATATTTGGGGTTGGTTCCATAACAAAAACCATTCGATTTCATGGTTAAGCTTTTCAAACAATCAAACTAAAATTTAATTATTTTGATAACATTTTTCTCATTTTTGTCTTTTTTGTTAGTTTACCGGTAGTTTTCGTGAAAACTGGATATACTGCTCGTGCTAGAGAAAGTTTTCAGTCCGATAAAGGGATTGTGAAGCCTGCCCTAAACACATGAAAAATGTAAAATTCAACTTTGATTTTTTTGCAAGAATCCTTTTCCTTTTTTTTGGGTGCTTTTCTTTTGTATAGCACTGTACCGTATACAACACTGAATACAACAATGTAGGCCGAGTTTAGTTCCAAACTTTTTTTTCAACTTCCAATTTTTTCATCACATCAAAACTTTCTTACACACATAAACTTTCAACTTTTTCATCACATAATTACAATTTCAACCAAATTTTCAATTTTAGCTTGAACTAAACACACCCGCAATATTAGAAATTTTTTTCTCGCCTCCTTATCTAATAAGGACAAATCTGAGGGACCTATTCGGAAAAAAGAGATGGGTTAATAATTTATTCCTCTCGCTCGTCTTCCCCTTCCCCATCGCTTCAACGGGCGAGGTTTTTTGAAAGCATCATCCTCTCTCTCTCCTCCCCCATCGACTACCCCCGACACCCAACGGAAGCCGTAGAAGGAGAGAGAGGGGAAAAGCTTGCTATTTTATACCCTCATCTAGGGTTCCGAGCCCACCGGCTCTCTCCCCCCTTGCTGGCTTCGCGCCATCTCTCCCGCCACCGCCTCCCCCCCTCCCCCCCTCCGCCTCCGATAGATTCGCGCTCGCCCTCCTGACCCACGGATTCGGTTCCCACGAAACCGCTCGATCTGGGGGATCTGCTAGATTCGTAAGGCGGCGTTTCGATCGATCTGTTCGGGGGTTTCTGCCGTGGGGAATTTTGATCTATAAAGTTAGTTTTTTGATTTTGTTTCTTTTTTGCTTTTTGGTGGCGGTTTCGCTGTGTTAGGTTTGTGGTGGTGGTGGTGGTGGTGAGGATGTGCTTGTGCCGTTAGATGGGGGCCATGGCGATGGTGGAGCAGGAGGGGTGCGTCGAGAACCGGCAGCCCCTGGCGGCGTCGAGCTCGTCAGTTTCCGACGGAAGCAGCTATGGCGGCGGCGGCGGCGGGCTCGCGCAGATGTCGCCGCCGGTGTCTAGCTCGGCGAATTCCATCTCCGGTCTTAGGTAAGGAAGTTCTTTGCCCGATTCCCCTCAGTTGGGATCCTATTATGGGAGGGATCTAGGAAGGTCCGTTGGTTAGTACCTAAGTTCGTGTGGTAGTTGAGAAAAATGGGGCCTTCGTGGATGGCTCCCCGATGGTTGTGTGGTTTTATCGCTGGCAATTTGCCCTGTCTGTGATTCCACGAGCGGTTGTTTGTGCGTTTGAGAAAAAATCTTGCCACGAGGAGTGCTACCTTGGCGGATATGTGGCACCGAGAGTGTTGTGGTGGCTGTTTGAGTGATAAATTTGGTGTTTTTTTGGTATCCATTTGATGAGATACTTTTTTATATTCAGACATGACTTTGAGTGTGTTATGATGGATATACTGATATGAAGGCGTTTTCCTTTTGGGATGGCTGTTGATGTTTTCATTTCTGTAATTAATTTGCTTGCCTTACTTTAAAGTGTGTATATTGATGTAATTTGGATAAAAATATGTTCACTTGGAACACTAAATTGGTCCGGTTACATGCAGCAGTAGTTGTTTAAACTGGAAATGTGTTTTTTATGCCATGACCCAAGGTTTTATTAGATTTAATATGCTTGGGCTACAGCATTGGAGATACCATTTACTTGTAACCTTGATGTGTATATTTTTTGTTCTGACTGCTGCGCTAAAATATGGTACTGGTGCACTATAGAAATAGTTGTTTTAATGAATAAACAGTATTTTTTTGTTAGGCCCTGTTTGGAACGTTTACCCTTTGTGTAAGATTCCTGAGTTCAAAACAGGGCCTGAATAGTTGCAGTTACAACTAACCGCCATTTTTGTTTCCCACTTTTAATTTCTTGATGATGAATTGAATGGTGTTAGTAGGGTTAAGCAGTATTTTTTTCATGGAAATCTTTCTTGTTCATGAAAGGCTCCACACATGGGAAATTTACATTGTCGAACTATAGCCTTAATGTTCTTCCCTATGTAGGTCTCTCAACCAACAATTGCTGTTTTTTTGGGTCATCTTATGCTAGTGTATTTAGATATACCTTGTGCCTTCTCGGACCTAATATGCTATTGTGCCCTGAACAGAAAATCTTTCACTTTATTTTTGCTGATAATCTTTATCTTATGTTAGGCGGACAAGCGGGCCAATAAGGAGAGCAAAGGGTGGCTGGACACCAGAGGAGGTCAACACCTCACTCTCTATTGTACTTCATAAATACTCCATAAGTCCTATTAAATGCAATACATACCTACATTTGTTACACATATATGCTAGTTTGGTTTGTATATGTATTTTGGCATATTCAGTGGTAATATCATGCACTGGAAAAGTTCTTAGTTAATCTTTTTCCATTCCTGTTTTTCTAAGGTTCTTATTTTATCCGATTTTATTTCATATATGTTTTTATTGTTATTCATGGTCTGACCATTGATTTTTTGTTTGAATCAAATCTTCTATTTTCCTGCTTGAACGACATTTCCATGTTGATTCAGTTACACAATCACTGTTACTAATTGGTCTTAACTTATCGCAACAGGACGAGACATTGAGGAAGGCAGTTGAGGCTTATAAGGGTAGAAACTGGAAGAAAATAGGTCCGGCTCTCAATTCCACTGCACCAGTGTATAACTTGGGCAGTCAGTTATCCTTGAGATGATGCTATCATTTTGTTGAAAACAACCTGTCAGGAGGATTGCAAATGCCTAATGGTTTGATTCCATTAATATCGGCCCATTTGCATATAAATATGCGTATACAAATATGATCTCAGCAAACTAATACATTTTTGCGTAGATTATATTTGTATAAATATATATAAGTATGCAACCTATAGTAATATTGGTGATCTTGTAGTTGAAATAGCTGTTTTTTTACCTTTTTAATGTTGTAGTACTTCATTATATCAGTTGCTCCACGTGTACTGGCATACAGCATGCCATATTATTTTTCCATATCTGTATGCCAAGTACATTGAGCTCATAGAATGTATCTGTATGCAGCCGAATGTTTTCCATACAGAACAGAGGTACAATGCTTGCATCGATGGCAAAAGGTTCTTAATCCTGAACTTATCAAAGGTCCTTGGACTCAAGAGGTTTGTCATGTAGCTGACTTTGCTTTGATGGTAAGCGTTGACATTATATCTTCTAATTGTTATATTAATGCCATGTTTTCTGCAGGAAGATGATCAAATTATTGATCTTGTAAAGAAGTATGGACCAACAAAATGGTCTGTCATAGCTAAGGCATTACCTGGCCGTATAGGGAAGCAATGTCGAGAGAGGTAATATTTTTATATCATGGCTGTATTGTTACCAGGATTCAGCTCACTGTTATTAATAAAACTTTTAAATTTCCAGTTATTTTTTTCACATATGCATTTATTTCCCTTTACATGAGACATTAGGAAACTTTTGTAATTGCAAGAAAGAACTTTAAATTTTAGGATGCTCATAGTTGCTACAAAAGCTCAGGATCCCGTCTATTATGAAATATGAATTAATTAAGGCCTTGTTCGGTTAATCCCTGTGATGGAGGGATTGGAGGGGATTTATTCCACACCTATTGTGGTGTGGAATTATTCCCCCTCAATCCCCTTCAATCCTCTTCAACTCTAAACCGAACAAGGCCTAAGAAATGCACTACTTACTGAAAGAACTGTGAAAATAATTGGCTAATAATTATGCTACAGTATCTCATAGCTGAATTCAAACTGTTGTCCGCATATAATTTACTTTCTTTATGGCTTCAATAGTATTTGTTATGAAAAAAGTGCTTAAGTTTGGCATGATACAATACATTATACGGAGCTAAGTATGAAGTCATACAATCTTAGGTGGCACAATCATCTAAATCCAGAAATAAGGAAAGATGCTTGGACTACTGAGGAGGAACAGGCACTCATAAATGCTCATCGGATTTATGGGAATAAATGGGCAGAGATAGCAAAAGTTCTTCCTGGAAGGTACGTTTATAAAGCTTACTTCCCTCGGAATTTTTTGCTTTCATTAGTTCATCGAGCTAGGTCAAAATCACGCTGCCCTCGATCTCTTAGCGCGCTGTTGCAATTTAGTTTGTTTGATTTTTGTTTCAAGTTCTACTTTCAACTGCTTATATACCTGTGCGATGGTCTTAAACTATTTAATATTGGTTGGTTGTTCGTAAATCAGAATTATGAGTTGTGTTATTATTTTGAAAAGACACACTTTACATCACCTTCACAGTGCTTCGTATGTTGCTTTTTCCAGGACTGATAATTCTATAAAGAATCATTGGAATAGTTCTCTCAGAAAGAAGCAAGATATGTACAATACCAGCAATAATATGGTAGTTCCGAAACTGCTTGTTCATGATAAGTTCAAGGATAAACCAAAGCTGATGGCTATGGAGGGTCATCTTGATTTGAACAAGGCACCCATTATCAATTCAAAAGACCAACCTGGAACAGCTCATCGGTCTAATTGCTCAGGGTTTCTATCTCGTTCCTCATTACCAACTGCTCAGCCACTTACTTCCCGTGAGGCATCTGTAGTTGATGGTTCCGCTGTCACTTTAGTGGCGCAAGCTCTGGAAAGTGATTCTGTCCGTGGTAAGGGCTTGGAAATTGATTCTGTTCATGAGAAAGGTCTTGAGGTTAACTCGGCACCTGATCATACCGGGAACTCTTGGACCATTCAACTAGAAGCTGCACCATCCAAAGGTGAAGCAGAATTATCTTTGAAGAATGAGGCACGCTCTCTTGGTCCACTTTGTTACCAGATCCCTAACATGGAAGATGTAGTCCCTGTGAGTTCCTCACTCTTTTCTGACCATCTTACTGGGAACCATACATCTGAACATTGTGGGGATGATATATTGTCACCTGCTGGCTGCACTACTCCCCCTCCAACAAAGGGAAAATTAACAAGCCAGCTTAGTGTTGATTCAATTTTGAAGAGTGCTGCTAACAGTTTTCCAGGTACTCCTTCAATATTAAAAAGAAGAAAACGGGATAAATCAACACCTGTTTCAGCTAGTGAGATGAAGATCAGTGGATCAAATACTGATAGATTTTACACTCCCATGGGGATGGAACCTGCTACAGCTACACCAGAGTCATTCAAAACTACATCTTTTTTGTCATTGGGTTCTCTTGATGGTTCTGTAAAGAGCTTTGATGTTTCACCACAATACCGGGCAAGGTCAAAAAGAATGGCTCTCACGAAAACAGTTGAGAAACAGCTGGATTTTTCATCAGATGGATTAGATACTTGTGGTTCTGAGATTCTGAACTCTTCCTGCAATAATTCCCAAAGCACACTTTCTATTACCGAAGCCCCAAAACTGAAAGAAAAGGAACATGCTGTTCAATTGGAAAATTTAACCAAGAACTTTGCGCATACAACCAATTTGGATGTAACCTAATCTTGGAAAATGCAGGTATGCTGTTACAAAAATCTTGAAAACCCCTGCTTTACAATTGAGATGCATTATACTTTTCATAGCCAGTCTACAAATTCTACCTGGTTTATCTGATCCATGTTGGTAGTTGGGTCCTTTTATTAATTGATTTGAACATGGAAGAAGTGTGCATAATTGTTTTACCATTGCCTTGTAGGAACTGACATCAATCTGATGAAGTAGGACAGATGAGCTGAAGTGTCTTTCTGAGCTGATGAGCTTTTTCTCAAAGTATCACGATTAAACCACAACAAGATCAAACAAAACCGGTGGAGAAGAATTCCAGAATTGAAGCTTTGTACTGAGTACAGAAGGTCCACCAATCATTCTCCCATCTCTTCTAACCAAGGTGTACAAAAGATGAGCGACACTCTGTAGAAGAATACATTGCTCGCTGCACTTTGTGAATTTACAGTTAGAAAATTCAGATTGTAGAAGCCACAGGTGTGTACAAAACAACAACGAAAAAAAATTATAGTGTTAGAACGTCATTATAGCTGAATAAGAGTATTCCTCATTGGATTGTCAGATTTATTTTGTCTTGTGCTTTCCCTTTGTCGCGAAACAGCCAGGGTCTGCTCTGTGTAACAATAATAAAACCCGTTTTTGCAAAATCATTGCCAGAGATAGTCAAGAAACCATTTTGACAGCAGCTCAGGTTTCGTTTGTTGGTTGTTGACAATTCCTTAAATTCTTTAGCATCTTCTGTACTCGCTGAAGCTCTGTTAGAACAACGTTGCAGAGGCTAATCATATGCTTGTGTTCGTTCTTACTTGATGCTAGTTGTATGATATGATTCAGCTGTATTACTGGCCCTGTTTGGGTGAGCTTAATTTAGAGAAACTGGAATATGTTTCTAGATTCTAATTCTATATCTATAGTAACTATACATATCAGAATATGTATGAAAAATTAGACTATGTAAGAAGGGTGTGTTCACACTAAAATTGGAAGTTTGGTTAAAATTGGAACGATGTGATGGAAAAATTGGAAGTTTGTGTGTGTAAGAGTTTTGATGTGATGAAAAAGTTGAAAGTTTGAAGAAAAATTTTGGAACTAAACTCGGCCGAAGTTTTTTGTTTAGAGCATCACCAATGTATATGGCAAAGTGATCTATATAGATGGGACCCACATAAATAGTTTATCCCTATGATAATGTCCACAATGTATAGATACAAGGTATCATTAGGAGAAGGAGAAGAGAGAGGAGTAGAGATAGATAATATAATTTATTTCATATGGGTAGTCCATATGTATATGGGTATTTTTTGCTATTTTTTTTATATGGACTAGTTGCACAATGATAATAGGTGGCTGAATGGAATATTCTATTGTTTATAGACTACTTTTATATTGTGGATGCCCTTAGGAAAAGCTAAACCCCTATCGGCGCCTTTCTATGCCTCTCTATCACCTTTTGGTCATTCGGTTCATCGCGGATCGACGAGAAACCAGGTTGGCCCGAATCAATCGGCGCCGGCGGCCTCCGCGGTTTCCGCCTTCGGGTAGGCGCCTGCGGCATCAACAAAGCACACAGCCGAAACCGAAGCCTTTTCTTTCTTCCGCCCCAAGAAGCTGTGCCACGTGTTTCCTCCTTCCCCTCCTCGATTTAACCGCCCCATCTCGAGTCCCCCCATCACAGCTTCCACTCCACGAAAACCCTCTGCCTCCTTCGCTCGCTGCACCCTCGTCTCGGCGATCCATCCATGGCTGCCAGGAAGTTCTTCGTCGGCGGCAACTGGAAATGCGTAAGTATTCCCCCCAGCACTAGTCGTCTCACAATCCAGATTCCGGATGAGCCGGAGACGCTGCTGATGAGTGATGAGGCTTGGGTTTTATCGATGCGCTGCGCTGTTGCTGCGTGCAGAATGGGACAGGGGAGGACGTGAAGAAGATCGTCACCGTCCTCAACGAGGCCGAGGTGCCCTCCGAGGACGTCGTCGGTGAGCCGTCGTCCCCTCCCGAGGGCGTTGTTTGGAGTTGGATCGATTCATGAATCGATCTGGTGCTGATCTGTGGGTTTGTTTATTTATTTTAATTTTTTTTGGGTGCAGAGGTGGTGGTGAGCCCGCCGTTCGTGTTCCTGCCGCAGGTGAAGGGTTTGCTCCGGCCGGACTTCTCCGTCGCCGCGCAGAATTGCTGGGTGCGCAAGGGCGGCGCCTTCACTGGCGAGATCAGGTGAGCGTCCTCCCCCACTCCCCTGCTCTGTTTCCCTTCCCCTTTTGTTTTGAGAGAGATGATTAGTGATTTATTTGGCATTGGGTGAACAACTCGGCCTTACAGCGCAATCTGAGTGTTTATCACGAGAGCGTCGATTTTAGTACGGATTGTTCGAACCGCGAGTATTGTTAGTCGATTATAAGCAGCTCTAGTTCCACGAAATCTGACTTGATTATAGGCATGAATGGATTTGTGGGACAGCTGAATAATGAGGCATGAGTATGCTGCTGCTGCTCTATTGTGGTTATCGGTGATGTTCTGCAGACTGCAGTGCTATTATATTAAGGGGTGAATGACAGCAGAATGTGGAATGCTTTAAGAGCAATCCTTTGCCAATTCACTGACGTATGCTTCATATTTGCAGTGCCGAGATGTTGGTGAACCTGCAGGTGCCTTGGGTGATTCTGGGACACTCTGAGCGGAGAGCGCTGATGGGCGAATCAAGTGATGTGAGTTCTTTCTACATTGTCTAGAAACATAGGATTTTTTTTCATGTCAGCTTTATAGCAACTAGAATGCGGGCAGCTACTGGTTTAGCAAGGCCAGGAACTTGCCAAGAATATCTAGACAATGGTCCTATTTTAAGGTCAATCTGCACCGTCCCTAAGCTAGCATAAAAGACTGTTGAGTTACTCTGTTGAGTTTTAGCCAAGTTAGACCTATAAATTGGGTTATTTCATCAAGCTGCTGGAAATTCTGTTTGAAGCTCATGGGATTTTGATTTACTATGTTGTTACTAACAGTTCTTTTCACCATTCATGACAGTTTGTTGCTGACAAAATTGCGTACGCACTTTCCCAAGGTATCAAGGTAATTGCTTGCATTGGTGAGACCCTTGAACAGAGAGAAGCAGGAACAACGATGGAAGTTGTTGCAGCGCAAACTAAAGCTATTGCAGGTAATTTCACTTGCTATTCTTCAAGTTAATTTCTTATAAAGTTGGAACTTCACCCCTAATGTTGGAACAACTGAATAAGTGCTTCCTTCCTTCCTTATGAAGTACCTTGTGCTGTTGATAAATCCAGTTCTTCCACCTTGAAAGCTGTTAAACAGGAATGCTAGTTTATATTTGCAGAATAGAATACTGTGATTGCTTTTACCCTGCTAAATATCCAAAAGGTATCTGTAGCTTGTGTACAGGTTTATGATGATAACGGTGTGGTCAAATTATTAAATGATCTATCATTTGAACTAGGAATTATGTCATACAAGAAACACATACTTTACTACTATGAGCCTTTTAGTTATTGAAGAAAACACATCCTGTTTTGATTAGTCACATCCATTTTCGTTTCATTTGTTCTTTATGGCTTTTGTGGTCCATTGTACTGTGCTGACATAGAAGTCTTCTCATTTCTCCACCCCTAACTTTTTGTCTTTTTTACTCGTCATATTTTTCAGAGAAGATATCCGATTGGACCAATGTTGTTTTGGCATATGAACCAGTTTGGGCCATTGGAACCGGCAAGGTTGCAACCCCTGCTCAGGCTCAGGAGGTATTCCTTCTAACATAGAGCAATTACATCACGATTAGCATGTTCCCTTCACATTTATCTGCCTCATAAACCAATATGGGTTTTTTCCTATATCTAATGTCTTTCTTGACCGATGCCTGGTACCTGATTCTGCAATTCTGTTCATTCGAATTATTTGAAATATGCATGACATTAGGTTCATGATGGTCTGAGAAAGTGGCTTGTGACTAATGTTAGTCCTGCAGTTGCTGAATCAACCAGGATTATTTACAGAGGTATACCTTTATAACTATAGGACTATGAATTGAAATGTAACCAAGATTTTGTTTAGTAGTGATGCCAATTGCTAATGTACAAAACTCTCCCCACTTCCCTACGATTAACCTGATCCCTTGTCTTCGCATATTTGTCTTCTACAGGCTCCGTAAATGGAGCAAACTGCAAAGAACTTGCTGCTAAACCTGATGTTGATGGATTCCTTGTTGGAGGAGCTTCATTGAAGGTCATATTCCTATTCCTTTATTATCCTCTCCATGATATTGATAGTAGCATGTAGAACATAAGCCTAGTTAAACAAAACACCATTTGACCAGTACAATCCTTGTGCGGTTGTGCCTAGTAGCATGCCAAATATTTGAATTTAACTCTATACATTCTCACATAACATTTCAGGCTTTACCGTTGTGTATATTACTGATGATTACTTTTTTTTTCTGCAGCCTGAATTTGTGGACATCATCAAGTCTGCTACCGTCAAGTCTTCTGCTTAGTGTTCTGGGTTGCAACCAGATGATCGTAGGAGTTAATGCTGCCAATTTTAAGTTATGACATGTTTGACCAGCTTGCTTTGTTATATCTCGAAGTCAGTGAACTCCATATCGTTCCATAGAGCATGCAGCCACCTGTGGTTGCTTTTTTTCTTTTTGACTTTTTCTCCCGAGAGGATCAGATGAACTGAAAGTGCCGTTAATGTCTGTATTATCAGAAGTTTGTTGATGGCTTGATGCTATAATAGTTGAACCTGATACTTCCTGAGTGAAGTACTGTCCTTTGCATGTTTGATTGATGATTACTTGTTTTCGTAGTCAAACGGGCTATCATGAAGGATATACTACATGTTTGTTAAGTTTGTTACTTCGTGATTTAAGCAATTGTTGATTAATGCAGAATAATAACCGGGTCATTCGCTTGTTACTCTATTACATTGTCATGTAAACTAGTTAGTGACTGAATCCATCTGTGACGTACTGTCCTCCCTCTTCCTTTCTTGAATGTACACTCCCTTAAAAGCGTTTTCTGGGAAGTAGTTATCTAGTGCACATTATCATCCAGAAGACCAATTTTAAACATATAATTACATATTGCAACAGTTGCAGTTATAACAGATTTTTTTTCTCTATATAATTGTCAACAACCATAGCCAGACGAAGTGTACATTACAGATTTTGTACTCACCAGATAAAATAAACGGTATACTAGTACTTATAAAATATCATTTCAAAGTTACAATAAAATGTAATATGCGAACATCCATACTGATTCCTGCAGATCAGAGGATGTGTATTCTGAATAGATCCTTTACTGCCAGTGCCCCCTTGCATTGTTCCAATTCTTTAAGAGAAAATCGAGCATGATCCGGCATAAGTTGAACACCTTTGTGCTACGGCGTTTGTCAATCACAGAAGCCGTACAAGCTGCGGCAATGGCCCCCGGCCGGCCACTCGACGACGAGTTTAACTTCACTGGTGAGTGGTCCCCTGAGGACGCCTAAGCGGCGAACCCAGAAAAATTTATGTTGGGCGTAATATGAAGGGCTAATGAATTAATTTGGCAACGGACTAGCTGACATTGTAATATCCAAAAACACCGCCGCTGCTTAGCGCCTCAAACATCAAATAATGGGGTGTTTCGTTTGTGCAGGGCACGGACTGCAGTCTGCAGCTAGCTTAATGCTGATAAATATGACTACACTGATGAGTCGCTGATCCCAGGAAATTTCACATTTCTTGGGGTATGCCGGTGCCCTCCCGGCACCACCCCTGGGTCCGGCCTTGGAGGACGGGCGAGTTGCCGGCGGCAGCCGGCAGGCCGGCAGCGGCGTAGGGTGTAACGCCGGCTCGTTCCTACTTCCTCCGTTTCACAATGTAAGTCATTCTAGCATTTCTCACATATATATTGATGTTAATATATATATAGATTCATTAACATCATAATGTTAGAATGACTTATATTGTGAAACGGAGGGAGTAGAAGGCAACATGTCAAGAAGGCAGGAAGGCAATCGAGGGCGGCGCGGAGGACATCGCTGAGGCAGAGGCGCAGAAGAGCACGCCGTCCGGGGATGCTCGTCGGTGAGGTCAGGGGCTCAGGGCGGCCATCATTGGCAGCGATCCAAGCAGGGTCCTTTTTACAAAATGTCAGGGCCTATTCGAAAATGTGTTGGGCACGGATGCGTCAAACGTGGGTGGTCCCTGGCCGTTGGATCCCTGTCAACGCCGGCTCACCCTTCGTCCTCGCCGTTGCAGGGGACGACCGACGACGGTGATCGCATGGATGTCGGTGCCGGGAGCTCATCAGCAACGAGGTCGTGCGCGAGATAATCCTCGCTAGGATTTCCCGTCGCTGAGCGTGAGAAGCATCGTGGACTAATCCGCAGGTGCAGGGCGAGCAAAACCAATAAGAATTTTCTTTCTAGTTGTCCTCGATTAAGCCAAATTAGGAACCAATCTTCTCGTCACGCTACAGAGTTCAACTAATTCACCTTGAAAAGTTGATGGTCACAAACTCACTAGATCTTCTGCTCACAAACTCACTAGGTATTGCTGTCCAATTAATTCAGTTGCTCTATGTTTTCGGCAATTAGAATTTCGGAATCTATGCTAGATTTGTCGAGCTCAGTTCCTCAGGATCTTGACATGTGAATTCTCTGTCTGCTTTCATTTTTCTCTGTCTGAGGATTTCAACTTTTGGATTACTGCGACACTGATCCATGCTTTGTTCTTTAATTAGTTATGTGTTGCGCGAGCTATCGACTTCAAAATAATATGCTTTTTTTTTGTGATCGACTGATCGCCATATACCTGTACGTAATGTGAGACGAAACCACTATTCAATTTTGCAGCTGACGTTGTGATGTTGATGCCTGATGGTGCTCTACTGCTCTGTTTCCTGCGTTCCCGAAAAATACTGCTCTGTTAATCTGTTTCCAGCGTAAATTAAAACAAACGGCCAATGATAATCGTTTTTAATTTTTTGGCCGAGTCATCACAGACTCACAGTATGTCAACAACTGATGTCAGTACACCCGTTCTTTGTTATTATGACACATCACTGTCATGAAAACCACCTGATAGGTTAACAATCAGAACCAAGCAGTTTCTGATTCTGAGACCCATTCTTCAGAAATCTGGAAATTCTACCGATATCTATCTGCCTGACTATCTCTATCTCGATCTCGTCCAGGATTGTTCTTGCGAACTAATGGTTGTACGCAAATTCGTCTCCCTACTGCAGTCTCAGTCCAAGTTTCCTCTTTGATGATTCTTCGAACTTATCGCGTAGATTGGGACTCGCGCATTTAGCCGAGGAAACACGCTTAGCAGCAAGACTCGATCAGCTCCGATCCTCACGTTGAAGCGATGAAAAAAAATCACCTCGAATTCGATCCAGGCGGCGAGACGTGACCAAATCACGTACAAGTCGTCGTCGAACAGACCTGGTTGTTTAAACTACTAATTCTAAACTGCAGAGGGTCAGAGAGAAAGATCGTACGAAACTTGTACTGCTAATCATGCAATAAGCATGTGTTAATGCCAGGACGATTCACTGGGGAAGGAATCACACCGTGGGCATGCTGTTGACTAGCGGAATAATACCACTGATTTAAGTAGGGTCATATATTGATATATAGCATAACTGCTAACTGCCAGTTGCTAGTGCCTCTTCGGCTCTTCCAGCTGGGAGTCGAAACAAACAAAAGAGCCGTCGTTAAGCACGTCCAAGTAATTAAATTAGTACGTAGTAGTAATCCCTAAGCTAAAAATATGGCCAGTTGTAGCTGACAGCTAGGAGTAAGAGATGGGCAAGTAGAGAGTATAGAGAGGAAGGAGAGAGGAAGCAATATGGGAGAACAGTAGTGAAGCCTCGAACCGGCTCGGTTCAGTCCAACTCAACCACGTAGAAACGTGCGGGTTTACACGGTGGCGACCGCTTCAAATGTGCGGGAGCTTTGACTGGTCCCCAGCCAGCTCGCCTATAAACGCGCGCACGCTCGAGCCAGCTACCACGGCATCTGCTTGAGTTGGAGCAACACACCAAGAAGGCCAGAGAGATTCAGAGAACTACACCGAGAAGGCGAGATTGTTTGCGTGGTTGGTAATTTGGCCGGCCTTGATCGATCGAGCGGAGAAGAGAAGAGAAAGATGGCGGGGAGCGGTGTCCTGGAGGTGCATCTCGTCGACGCCAAGGGCCTCACCGGCAACGACTTCCTAGGTGAGATAGGTGCGTCCTACCTCGATCCGCGGCCGAGCGCCGTTAGAAGAAGACGAGGCCGATCGAGCTCGATCTCATCCGCGTTCTTGTCCTGTGCAGGCAAGATAGACCCGTACGTGGTGGTGCAGTACCGGAGCCAGGAGCGCAAGAGCAGCGTCGCCAGAGGTCAGCTAATACTGCTCCGTGCAGATTACTGCAAACTTCTTGGTTTTTCGTTTCAGAATTCGGATTATTGTTAGACGAGGCATTGACGAACGTTCTGGGCTCTGACCTGAAAATGCAGATCAAGGGAAGAACCCGAGCTGGAACGAGGTGTTCAAGTTCCAGATCAACTCCACGGCGGCGACCGGGCAGCACAAGCTCTTTCTGCGGCTCATGGACCACGACACCTTCTCACGGGACGACTTCCTCGGCGAAGCAACGTGAGTGCCATTATATGCTCTCACCAAAACAAAAAGCCAACAACCATGGCAGCTAGCTTAGTCATAGCAAACGCTAAACACTAAAGTAATTTTCCAGTTCTTAAAGGAGATATTAAGGAGGTACCAAATTTACACTAAAATTTTTGGAATTTCTCGAGGACTATAAAATTTCTCTGAACACTACTATAATCTCAACGTGCTGACCACATAGTTAGGCAAATGAAAACAAGCAGAAAACTTTATATACCTTTTGAACATCCTGCACAAATCTGAATCTTGATTTTTGTTGTAATGCAGGATCAACGTGACTGACCTGATCAGCTTAGGCATGGAGCACGGCACATGGGAGATGAGCGAATCCAAGCACCGGGTCGTCCTCGCGGACAAAACATACCACGGCGAGATCAGAGTCAGCCTCACGTTCACGGCTTCTGCAAAGGTAAACAAATCACCAGACGCACGACTGAATTATTGATTATTCATGTTACGCCCCGTTGACCTCCATTGGTCTCTCCTGATTGGCTGGGATCTGAATGTGATTCGATGTTGATGTCCAATGACAGGCTCAAGACCACGCAGAACAGGTTGGAGGATGGGCGCACAGCTTTCGTCAGTAGAAAGATTGTGAACTTCAAGTCTATAATCAGTTGGGGCCTGTGGGAGGTTTAGATAAGTATACTATAGTACTAGCAAGGTAGGATTTTGTGAGTAACAACGGCATCTAATGCCCAAGATTGATGTGGTTCGAAGTGTATGTATGCTGCCTTTTTTTTTTCTATACTAGATGTATATTCAGAACATTGTAGAGTCATGAACCTGTTAATGGATGTGAATTATGATACTACTTCAACCTCTTTTTCGCCTTTGTGTAGCGATACATACGGTCAGACTTTACCATCTCTAACCTCCAATATATTAATTAGAATGTATGTATAATTCAAGTGTGATGATAACGAGTTGATTTTTCATCAAAACCACTTATGTATCGTTATATTCTTTACAATTTTTTATTACCACATTATTAGGACGTCTGTGTGTATAAGAAATCATCTATTTAGAAACCTAGGGAGCAGGCTTACACCGGGAAGTATCTACTGAGAAGTACCAATTAGGTCAAACCGTGAAAACCATCACATATCAGAGTATCGAGAGGAATGTCTGCATTTATCCACTCCATAATTCATGAGAACAAATGCAATCAAGTTTCTTGTGTCCTTGGAAAATCCATTCTTAGTGATGTCCTCCGAAAAGAAGACTAGTTCAGAAATAAATCAAAGGAACCACTATTCTTTCATCGTGTCATCATATACAACGACCAAATATAAACATAAGCAAAAAATCTATTATATTATTAAAGGAATAGAAAAAAGGAGTCTCCACGTTCGCTCTCATGGCCTAAAAATTCTCACATTAATCGGAGAAAAAGAAAAATCAGAGTCCATATAGAAATACAATTTAGAAATAGCTGAAATTCGGAATTAAAAAATAAGAAATATTAGAAGAGGAGACTAGAGTCCATATAGAAATACAATTTAGAAATAGTTAAAATTCGAAATTAAAAAATAAGGAATATTAGAAGAGGAGATTAGAGTCCATATAGAAATACAATTAGGAAATAACTGAAATTTGGAATTAAAAATAAGGAATATTAGAAGTAGAGTATAGAGTCCATATAGAAATACAATTAGGAAATAATAGAAATTCGGAATTAAAAATAAGGAATATTAGAAGTAGAGTATAGAGTCCATATAGAATTATAATTAAGGAAATAATAGAAATTCGGAATTAAAAATAAGGAATATTAGAAGTAGAGTATAGAGTCCATATAGGAATTTAAAACTAACTAAAATTCGGAATAAACATAATAAAATTAAAGGTAGAGTTTTGAGTCTGTATAAAAATACAATTTACAAATAACTAAAATTCGAAATTAAGAAAAACACGTGAAGAAGAGTTTAAAGTCAACATAGAAATACAATTTAGAAGTAACTGAAATTCGAAATTAAAAATTAAAGAATATTGAAAGATGAGTTTAGAGTCCACATAAAAATACAATTTGAAATAATAAAAATTCAGAAATAAAAATAAATAATATTGGAAGAAGAGCCTAGAGTCTATATAGAAATACAATTTACAGAAAATTCGGAATATAATTTACAAATAACTAAAATTTGATATTAAAAATAATTAATAACTAACACATATATAAAATACAATATGAATATTTCACATTTGTAGTTTCGTAAAGTTATTGCAAAATTTAAAATTATGATGTTATTTTAATATATTTGAATAATATAATGAGAAAACATATATGCTATTATATGAGAGAAAATATAATGATGCTAGCCGTATAATCTGCGCGGGCCACCATGCTAGTTAACATAACAGTAGAAAATGCATCCAACTATACAGTTATCCCCAAAAGTCCGCGTTTGAACCTGAACATAGCAAAGGTCCTACTTAACTCAAATGACCAGATCTGTTCCTTCACCTGATTGTCTCGGACTCAAAATGGATGTACAAGTTAGACTACTGGTACCTGTTAAAAGATTCAAAATGTGACCATACCCCTGAACTGTACTCGTTTGGTCCAAGCAATATGGACTTCGTAGTTGTAAACTGAAGAAGATGGTCTCGAAGTGGAGATCGTTGCCTCAGGTGCATAGGTAACAAGTCACCTCTTGCATTTACATCAGAATCAATTTCTTCATACCTTCACTATAGAGGAAACGACAGGTGCAATTCTGCTCCTTGGCAAGACCAAATAGCAAAGCTATGTTTCCTAGGTGCACAAAGTTGCTGCAGTAGTACTGTAGTATTGTCCAAGGTTCTAAGTTCAGATCGTGAGGCAGTTTGCATAAACAAGGGATTGCATTTTTACTCATCTTAAACTTCTGTAATCTCTGTGACTGATAAGATGTCATCACGTGGATGGGCTGCTTCCACAACGACACTAACTTCATCTCCCACTTTCCCAGTTGAAACCACGGCTGTAGCTTGGATCCCAACCTGCGAAGTATCACCAGAATTGGAATGTAATACCCCAATGACGATATTGAGAAAGTGATCCTACTTCAAGGAACCCAAATATGCCATTGGAGAATAATTGTGACGAACTAGTGTAGTGGCAAAGTAGTCTAGTACAGCAGACATATTAATTAGCTGTGACTGCCAGTAATCCTATATATCTGCACCACTAGCAGCGATTAGTGCTATTTTCTCCTGTGTAATGAAACCACATCATCTATGTTTTACACAGCCGGAGGTCTCCATCTAGTAATACAATAAGATTAGCTCTAGTCGTTTCTAGCATGATCACTGATCACATTGTTCCATGTCCAGATAAAATTTTTACCAGTCTGGACAAATTTAGCTGCTATAAAAGTTGGGAGTTGGTGCTGGTGGGCCATCTAACCCTCTTTCACCTCACTAAAAAAAAAGCCGCAGAAAGAAAACGTTGCTCTTGTTCCAACAACTCCCTCTCTTAAAAATTTGACCAGAGTACCAGACATGGCATCATAGCTCACACTCACGGTGTAGGATGAGCATTGCAGGGTCGGTGCAATGCTGACATAGGGTAAAGCTCAGTTGATGCAGTGGATTACTATGAGATTCAAACTGTAGCAAAGCATGTGTATTCAAACTGTTCCTTTGAATGCTAAGATATTTGAATACTTAAAATACAAAATAAAACAACTATTGTCCTGGCTAACTGCTTTGCCTGGTTCAATTTGTTTATACATGAACCATCAAGCAATTGACTTGCATATGTTTTACCAAGCCTTATCCCTATTCCATGTCATGTAGATTTTGTTTAACCTGAGTCAAGGTAAAACCTGGTTTAAGATAATACAAAAGCATTGAAATCAGCTACAAAAATAGTTTTTTAAATAAAAAACCGTGAATAGGATTGAATTATCCTAAGTCATCTGGGATTGGTCATACTCGGGAATAAACAATTAAAATGAAGTGAATACACAATAAGATGGTTTTTATACTGACTAGGATTTGATAAACTTTCCCAAGCCAGGTTACACTGGTTTTCCAAGCCCTGGGCAAGACCACTAATATCTACAGAGGTGCTCTTGCTCCAAATACAATCCCATAAAAGCAACAAGAATACTCTCATCTTATATATATCAAATAAAAATGTACTGGATGAAGCATGTTTGTGTACCTCTATAACAAGCAAAGTTGCCAAACGATCCTTAATAAACTTAAGAATCAGGGCTTTATACTTCTTTCCCTTTGGTTGTCTTCTCAAGTATTCCAACAACCAGTAACGTAAGTTGTTGCTATGGAGTCTCCTGGCAACTTTAACATGCATGCTTGCAATAAAGGTCATTCCTTCTAGGTCACCAGCTGAATAGGGTGGAGATTCACCTCTAAGAAAAGCCTTTATCTGCAATTTAATACATCTTCCATCAGCACTCAAATTTAAGTAGACCATAAGTACGACGCTCGGATCAAGATACAATGAAACTAGACTGCACTCATAACATAAAACACAAGGTGGGAAATTGATAATAGGAAAGCTCTTTGTAAATTGTAACCATCATGTTCCTGGAAACTGTTAAAGTTCTCCCTATTAGCAGGAATAACAGAGGCATATTTACCTGATAATGAGCTAGCAGATCAACATATCTTCGAATAGGGGAGGTGAACTGTACATAACCAGGAATACCGAGGACACCATGTGGTACAGGTTTTTGGAAATCCATTTCTGCAGCACGGAGCACACTGATGTTGGCAAAACTCCTGGCAGGCCCTTCAGGGAGATGAGTAAATGCTGACACAGCTGTGTTAGACTGGGGATGCCCTCTGTATGGCAAAGCAATATTGTTGTCAGAACCAAAAGCAGCCACGGCCTCCCCACAGAGTATCATCATCTCAGATACAAGCTGCATTGCTGGGTTGGATTGGTCTTCAACATATAGATTAATGTTTGGTTCAGGATCATCAGGATTTGCCACCTTGATACGTGGTTCTATCATAGCAGTATCAATCGAACCCTGTGAACTTCAGAGTGTCAATTTTGTCAAATAACAAATGCATCGTAGTACTGATGTAATACTTCAGAAAGTCTTTGAAAATACAGGCTTGAGCTAATTGGTAAGTGGCACCAGTAGTCCAGTACTAATGGTGAAATGAACAGCCGTGGCATTCATTTTGTAGACCTTGGTCTAGGAAAGGAATCTGGAAGGGAGTTCCCTTGTCCATAGAAAACCATGTGTATCTCGCTTTATAAGAAAATTACAGTTGCATTTCATTCTGCTTTCATTTGCTAATCACAGATGACTCATAAAAAGACAATGTATTGATAACTTTTGAATGTTTATCACTCCCAGCTAGGCAAGGGAATACTAGGCTCTTTGAATGGTTCACATGGCTCCTATAAATAAAGTCCAATGATATTTGAACTACACTTGAGAACATGCTGGATGGTGACATTGACAAGGAGGCAACTTCCGCTTATGACTTGCTAAGTCCTGCTGATGGAGGAGCACAAGTCATTTGGCTCTCCTGGTGCATAATAGATTTTCTAGTCAACACAGGCTAGAGTGTTTAACATTCTCTTCTCTACAAATGACCCATTCTGAATCAAATGTGCTCACAGACTGAAAATAACAAAGGCATGTTTAGTACTTACCTGACTACGACGCCACTGTGCACGAAGGGAAGCAGCTTCTTGAAGAATTCTCAGTTCTTCCTCTTCTTCCAGGTTCATATACAGTAGTTCAGTTGCACTCTCATATGTTAACATGTAGGTAGGTTTTATGATTGAATTCTCTATACTATATTCTGCAATACTATGAACAACACAAATATAGTTCTCAACAATTTTGCTA